TTTTCTTAACAATCCCCTTTGTCATCTTGAAGAACCACGATTTGTATGACTATCTTGCTCTGAGGAATGTCGTAGTAAAAGAGCTAATGCAATTTTATTCCTTGCCATAAAACAAATTCCAACGAAAAGAGTCATTAATTGTATTATACTTTCATATCCTTGTAGTTTTAAAATCACCCCTCTATCATTCCAAAACAAAAATTCGCATGTGGTATACAGTGGAATAAGCAGAACTTTCACAAGGAGATTCAAAAAGTACAATACACGAAAAAGCTAAAGGATTTAACATCTAATATATGTACATGGGAAAAAATTGATCTTATATACACTATAATTTTCAGGCGAAGGGAGTTCGACTGAACCCTCTTCCGCCCACCTAGCTCTGCCCCTGGGCGTATATATGCGCGCAAGTTTTATGTGATAAGAGGGCAAATTAAAAAAAAAAGAAAAAAAGAAAAAGGCAACCTCAATTATTAGCAATTGTTACTATTTACTAACCTAATTTTATTTTATGCAACCTGACATGTTAAAAGAAATTTAAAACCAAGGTGAGTTCATCCGAAAATCCTCCCTCTTTATGTGGACGATTTGGTAAGAAAATCAGACTTTGGTTGCCTCATAATTGTACGTTGCACAAGCACTTTGAACTATTTTAGATCTTCTTTTAAAATACATATGACATCACTCGTATCTTCACATATAAATAGTTATTACACAAAATTTAAAAGAAAAAAAAAAGATGTTAGCCTTAAACTAATAAGGCGCCTCGCTGGTCATTTTAACATTTCAAGCATGGTCAAAAAATATTTCTTTGAAAATAGTAGCATGAACTTTATCCCCTTTGTGCACTGTCTCCTTGCCTAGAAAGAATGAGAAAATAAGACTTTCTTAGTTAGAGATTCATATATTATATAATACTTACCCAATTACTCTTCTAAAAGTTATTCCAATGCTCTACATTCTTTTTTTTATTTTCTTTGTAGGAATTAGATTCATAACGATAAAAATAATTTTTTTTTCTAGCCACTTCCTAATTGGGTTAAGGGTTCAATGAAACTGTAGCATATTGCCCAAGAAAACTAAACATACGGACAGTCCTTGTTCAAATCCTCAATGCACTTGTTCACATGATGTTCATTTCATGAAGTTTAATGCCATAATATCCTCGGGTCGGGTCGGGTCGGTCATCCGCGGTCAAGCTGCAATTAGATATCACCGATAACAACTTCCCCACCCCAGGTACATAGGAGACCGATCCTTGTCTTTAATTAGCCATTATCACTGCTAATTAGTATTATTAAATGTCAATTAGAAAGTATTATATTAACAAAACAATGCAAACTAAACACAACATACTTACACACACAAAATAAGCCGAATGGACCTTAGGCATACACTCGTAAGCGTAAACAAAAACTTAGAGCAAGCTCTAGATTTAAATCACAGAGGGAGATAACATGCAAGACCAAATAAGTCAGAGAAGTAATAAGGGCACGAAAAACAAAAGGTACAAAAACACAAGATAACAATGAAAGTTGGAAAATGCCAGAATCTAAATAAGAATCTGAGATCGAAACATGCAAGAAGAAACGAGTCGCGGTAGAATAAATAGAAAGCCTAGACGTAAATAGAAAACATAAAAAGAAAAAAAAAACGTGAAGATTAAAAACAGTTAGAATAAAAAAGAGTAAACTTTAGATTATATGTAGCTCGAAGACTCAAAATTTATTTATATTGTTAAGAGTTAATTAAAATTAATAAGGTGCTAGCCATGTTTTGTATACATTTACTTTGGATCTTATTGTAAAATATTTATTACCAATAAAAATATTAGAATAGTTTAATTCAAAGTTCTAAAATAATTTTACGATAAAACTATATTTATTTGTCCATGTGTTATTGCCTAATTATGTTTTTAGTCCATGTGATATCCACTAAGCAAATTTAACTTTTAATTAACCCATATGAGTGGTTTATAACGGGACTCACAGAGCTAAACAGACAGTTAATTGATATGAAAATTAACTTAATGTCATCATGCGAGGAAATAAATTTTTATTAAGAGAAGGTGAAATAAAGAATAAAATTGACAACTTTTTAGTGGTTTAAAGGAGCATCAATCAAAAATTAATTATATTTTGAAAATATGAAACAAAAAACAAGACTTGTGAAATGGTATTCAACTTTCCTAACGTGATTATAAAAGGAGACAGTGAATTTTTATTAAATTTATCATTTTTAACAACCATTCTGAAATTCTGAAGACTTGGAAAGAGATTTAGTGATTTACTGCGCTCTTAATATCACCATAGAAGAAAATAATAGAATTTTATCAATTATCCTGGTTTTAGGTTTTTTTTTCTACGATGCTGGTTTTATTTATTGAAATTCTAATTCGTATAGGGTTCTTGTATGCAGGTATTTTATTCCACAATATAAATAGTATAAACATTTCTGCAAATTTGAATAGAAAAGGAAAATGGTAACCAAACAGTATTTAATACTACAAAACTTATACAAATACCACTTTTGCCTAGGTTAGGTTAGGGTGATATGTAAAACAATTGAAAAGAGACTGCAGTCCATCCATGACACAACCAGTTGGATCACAGAAAACTGGCAATACGACTTCTCTAAGAAGCAAGGCATATCAAAATTAACGACGTATCGAGCCCAGAAACAAGCAGAAATGTCCAGCTACAGCGCAAATCGACTTGATTTCAAGACTTCCATAGATGCAGAAGATGATTAGACAGAAAGAAAAAAATGGAGTTTCCAAAGGCTGGTTTATCTTAACCAGGACCAACCTTAGGAATGTCATAATGCTCAGTAAGATTAGCTAGGTACTGATTAAATTCTTGAATTCTATCGCGGTGGGATTTCGTGGCTTCTTTTGCCAGTCGTTTGATATTAATTTTCTCCCAAAGCTCAAGGTATTTCCTCTCTGCTGGTGTGAGATGATCATCATTCTTTGTCCCTTGCTCTTTCCTCCCACTGTCAAGGTAACTCTCATCTATATCGTCCTCAAGTTGGTTTCTGGTCAATTCGTTGTTTCCACCTGCCATCCACAAATAAGTTTTACAACAACATACGGAATTAGAGCCAAGTCAAATGGGCATAACATTCAAATACAGATGAATTAGATATTATAGTACTGCTGAACACTAAAGACGACATGCAATTGATGTTGTAACATGATCTTAAAGGATACCAAGAAGACTCCAATTTTGGCATGCAAGAAAGAGTAATACACACCATGTTTCCTCACCCCTCTTAGCAACCTACTATCAAATGTATGGTTTGGAGAAAGTATCCTTTCTTCAATTATATCGTTAGTCAATCCTCCAAAACAAAATGAGACATGAAGAAAATCACAATTGCCTCCACAGATGAGCTATCTGCCCCTCCTACCTACAATGAACAATCATAACGATGCAAGTCCTGACACTCGTANCAAGCCTATAAGAAAAGGAAATGCGAAACACGAAAAAGAGCTCATGGAAAGGGCATTTAACAAACCATCATCAACGCCAATTTAGATCTGCCAAATCCCAAAGAAGGTGGCATTGATGCTAGTTCATGAGACAACTCAAGGTGGCCCCATTAAAACGATTCACCAAATGTGGAAAGAATAACAAGAGACCATTGAGACATCTCAGATTTTGGTCAATATCTCCCTACAACCCCATATACCAGAATCAACAATTAACAGTTTGTTAGCCCTACCAACTAACTGAGCACAACTCATGCATTACTAGCTATTCAATGATTATAATTACGTTTCCACATCTATGAACCCTGAGATTTGTAATTACCAGTTTACCACTACCCTCACATCAGCTAAACATTTAGCATCATAGTTCATATGCCAGAAGATCTAGGGTCAATAATCAGACTGTAGATGCTTATGCTTTATCAAGATGAACTACAAGCAAGCTGGAGAAAAGAAAAGAGTAATGCACCAGATCAGAAGGGCAGAACAACATCTGATCAGTTTGATGTTATTCTATACATGTAGATGGTGGTATCTGATACAGATCTATTCTTTGCTTTCCTTCTTCATCTTCTTTTGTATCATCTTTGCTGAAACAATAAGAAATAGCTGCTGATCTCGAATAAAATTATAGGTCTTATGCTAGGGCCGTTACCCTTGCTAAAACCCACTACACTTTACATAACAAGGTTATGAAACTTCTATTGACACTACAAAATATGAGATTGACAATGCAGACGCATAAGATCTAGCAAACTTAGTGAGCCATGTATTTAACTTTTACAAGGACGGGTATGAAACACATGATGAAATGATGAGACTTATTTCCCAATGTAATAGATCTCTACCACATGTTCTTCTCACATAAGCGAGAACCATACAGGATTGACTATTCAGTATAGGTTGTTAAGTTTTTTCTTTTTTCTTTTTGATAAAGTCAGTATAATTTGTTAAATCGCATTACATAATTTTGCCGATGAAGTAGGTTGAATACTATGCCAGTATAGATACACAGCAATAAGAACTGCACTTGAATATTAAACCAAATATTATCTTAAGAAATGCTCAAGGCTAGCTTGCTCTTAGGATACCTTTTTAACAAACTCAAGACACACAGAAAAGAACAAAAAACATAATCCAGTATGTAAGGCATGATGAAACAACCAATTCTTAATTGACCATGATAACAGAGAAAAGATATGATCTCCAATGAGCAAATGAATGATGCCTCAAACCTTTTAGTTGGTCATTACCTGTCACTTGAGTCACAAGATCATACTGATGCTTGTGCTTCTTTTTCTTTTTTATCCCACTAGATTTCACACCTAGAGCTTTGCCCTTTAGTCTTAACCTTCCAGCAACAACATTTTCATAAGCCGACATCTCACCTGACAGAAGAAGTTCAAATAAATCTCAGGACTTAAACTGGAAGACTAGCAAATGTGCAACTATTTCACCACCCCTCCTCCCTCCTGGTTTATAATAGAGCATAAAGCATGTTCTTTAATTTTTTAATCTATCATTCACATTTCCTTCTCCTAAAACTGATTTGAGATTGAAGCCTGGGAGTTGATTGATTCCCTCCCCTGCCTTTTCCCTCCGACCCCTGAGTGATAGATACAATAATAAATAAAGACAGTGCCTGGTTATTTCCAAGGCCAAAGCATATCCTACGACATTAGTCAAGATGAACTCTTTCACAATGAATACCAAAAGCAAGCATTCATTACCAGGATTGACAGCATATTAGGATTTATATGTTAAGCAGTTAGTACGTCAACTGAAATCGATATCACAGGTTGAGTTTTACCAGTTGGCTTCCTTCCTTACATGGTGCCCAAGTATCGCAGTTGTATAACTGCCGCAGTTTTAAAGTTAAGAGCCTATGCATACACAGCATCTTGATGTTAAGGTATAGAGCTAAGTCTCTTGTATTATTTTGAAATGGCAAGTAATTCCATTGCCGACAGACCTTTTCTTTTTCGCAAGTGTCGTAACGAGATGACAAGCAACCTTGACAAGACATGAATAAAGTTTGCTCTATACTTCTCCTTTATCGTTCAGGCTTTTGTAGGGTATATAGAAGAAGTGATGCTCCTTGGAGCCAAAGACAGATTTAAGATTTAAGTGCTATGGGTTCAACAAGTTTTTTTAGCATTGAAACCTCTTAAATTATGGGTTCAGACCTACTATTTATTGCAATTTAGTGAATATTTTTACGCAAAAATTTATAGTCCACGTGAAATAGTGGGTTCAGATGAACCCGGTGTCCGCTTGGAGCGGTCTTTTCGTTTAAGCATAGCTATTATTCGGTTAGAGTGTAGTACATGGCGGTTTTAGAAGGGAATTTCTTCATCTTTTACTTGACCACACAGTTTTTGTTGTTTTTTTTAATTATTAAAAACACAGTTTCTTCTAATGGAAGCGTTTAACCCAGATATGAATTGGTGAACAACATAGATGCCTTATTTCAGTGAGAACTTTAAAGGTTATCCTTTGAATGGAGAATATCTAAACCTCATTATTGTCCTCACTTCCACCTATTGCTTGATTTAAATTACATTTATCTTTTAATCTAAAATGCTCCACAACCCGCCCACCCAAAAAAAAAAAAGAATCACATTCACGTTACAACATATATCTCATCAAATTCAAAAAAAAAATTGCAGGCACACCATAATTAAAAATCTCAACAGCAAATAACAAGTAAAAATTAATGCTTTTTGGATCGCTAGATTTTCATTTTCAAAAAAAAAAAAATTGGGTAGGGGGGAGGGGGTTTGAAGCGTACCTGATTGAGGGTGAAGAGAGATGAGACAACAACTGCTATTTGGAACGGAGTCTCCATTTTAGAGAGGATCTGTTTATTTTCTCGAAGCTTCTGGGCTTCAGTGGAATAGAAGGAAAACAAAAGAAAAGGTATAATATTATAATATATATATATATATATATATATATAT